AATCACAACTCCAAGGTTTCTAGTTGTTTTTGAAGGAGTTATGGTTGATGAGCCTAACTGGATGGTGAAATTTTGATAGAGTGATGGGTTTGTTGAACCCACAAGCAGTTCTGTCTTAGCCAGGTTAAGTTGAAGGTGATGGTCTGTTATCCAACAAGAAATGTCTGTTAGACATGCTGAGATGTGAGCAGCTATCGTCGGATCATCAGGATGGAATGAGAGTTATAGTTGAGTGTCATCAGCATAGCAGTGATATGAAAAACCATGTTTCTGAATGACAGAACCTAGTGATGCCATGTAGACAGAGAAGAGAAGTGGTCCAAATACTGAGCCCTGAGGCACCCCAGTAGCTAGATGTTGCGACTTGGACACCTCACCGAGGTATATCATAGCTACTTCAGTATGTTATTTAATATACACTATACTAGGGGTGTCACTACAAAATAGTAATTTTTTGCTGTGCCCACTTTTTCCTTATAAATACTTGTCTGACGTGGAAAATTAACGGCATGAGGATAATTTCTCATATAGATCCATATTTTCTGTCGGCTGCCAGACAGAACAACCATCCTGATTCGCGAATAAATCTTTTGATTCTTTTTAAAGAATCAGACTGAATTCGGGACACTAGCATAGTATTATTGCTGTTTTAGGCATAACTTTATATGGCAGAAATAGTAAAGGTAGTATGTGTCAGCCAAACAGGTGCGCAAAACAGTCTGAATCGATTCGCCATTAGTCAAAATCAGAGGTCCTCAACTCTGGACCTTGAGATCCACTTTCCTGTGGAGATTAGCTCCAATCTGGATTAAACACACCTACCTGGAACTTTGTAGTGATCTTGAAGATCTTGAAGACCTTGATTAGCTTGTTCAGGTGTGTTTGATTAGGGTTGGAGCTAAACTCTGCAGGAAAGTGGACCTCAAGGTCCAGAGTTGAGGACCACTGGTCTAAAAAAATCTGCCATTCAGACTGAATCAGTCATAGAGTTCACCAACAGACTGAATTGTTTGGAGTACTTTTTACTTTATATCACGGAGAGCTAAAAGAACCTTAGAATAAGAGGATTTTCACCAACAATCCACAGAAACAAACCTGCAACTGCCTTGTATCATTTGCCAGCGACAAACGTCTTTATTAAGTTAAACATCTGCAAGAGCAGCTTGTGAATGACTCACTGCAGGTAAAGACATTTTCCAACCGGTACATAAATGAAATAATCCTTTAGTACTACATCATTGTACAATACTGGAACAGCAGGCTAAACTAAGTTTCTTTTGAGGCCAAAGTTGCTAAATGTACTGTATGAACAATTATAGTGGGATAGATGTAGAAAGTATCCATTTATTTTCATGGGTCTGTGAGAAAGTGAACGTTAGGTTGTAAAATTAAGTGCAGATATGAAATTGAATGAGGGAATCTGTAGCCTAGCTCAGAGTTCAGTTCCCAAAAGTACTGATGAAATGTCTCTTGTGGTCACTGTTGGTCAGCTGCAGTACCGTCCTCACTCTTAACCTTCTGATTGGCACATCATCCTTCTACCTCACATTTTGAAATACACACTATATCAGGCCTTGCTGCACTGTTCCACTGATCTCAATTTTGTGGTTAAATACACCACTTGACCCTCACCACCTCGAACCACTATTGTTGGATGATATATATTGTGCTCTCAGTTTCCCATTACAATGCCACAAACCTCGTTGACTTATTGTGATGGCAGAGAGAGGAGAGACACAGAGGCATTTCAGGTTGCCATGGCAACAAAAGTGAGAAGCAGCATTAGCGACACTTTTAGGCGGCGCCTAGCAACCATATCCATGCATCCAAAGGCCAGGTTACAAGACAGCACGGGAAGGAAATCATTTGTGCAGGCTTTTGTTAGAGCTGTTGCCTTCTGCTTGATTTGCTTGGCTACACAATGTGTTAGAAATATAGCAACAAATTTTTTTTGCAGTTCAGTACGGATGAATGTGTGGTTTTGGTATTAGCGTGATGAGAAGCTGATTATGAGTGAGTCTTGATGAATCTGTGTGTGTGTGTGTTTGTAAATGTAACCTTCGTGCTCACATGCTCTCTTCACTGATTAGGGCTTGCTGCACTGATTAGCAGTTGTCATGTCTGCTCTTTACAGAGTCATTACATCTGCCAGAGTGATTTCTCTCCACCCCATTCCTCATCCCATCATTCTGTGGTGTGGAAGAGTGGAGATGCGTGGCTCCTGCTTGCCCCAGCCCGCACAGAGACGGGTAATGGGTTATTATTTCTAGAACAGTCCTACTAATGCCATGGGTCTGAAAAGATTGCATACGCAACATGACCGTCATGTTAGCGGACTGAAGCTCAAATGCCTTCAGCGGCAAAAAGTCAGAACAGAAGGACAAACCTGGCAAACAAACCCATGGGGGATGGTTGTGTTGTGTGATGCTGTAACTGAAGCCACTTTAAAATATGAGAGAAGCTCAGAGATTTATGACTGGGGTTCAGCTGGTGACATGTTGTTCCCCTTTGTTTCTTATTTTGCTTATTTGGAAGGCAGATAGGCACTGCTGGCAAACCTTTAGTCTAAACTCGTCCTCCTTCACCATCAGTCAAAGTGAAATATACGGGGGAAATGAACCCCATCTTGGTAATCATTAGCCAACATCCATTTTCCAGCGACGTTAATCCACAGGATAAAGATTTCAAAGTGTTTTGGGCGGAGCGTTTTTTCCCCCCTCAAAATCAGAACCTTGTGGAAATATTGATTACTTGTCATTTAGCAGGTGCTTTTTATCTGAAATGATTTACAGTACACGAACTGCAGGGACAGCCTCCCTGGAGCATTGTCTGGGAACAGAGTGGGTGAAGGAAATCTCGTTGAAATAACTGCTGAACTGGGACTGTTCACAGCAGGGGTTCCCAAACTTTTTCAAGCTATGACCCTACTAGAGAGGCATAATTACTCTCAAGAACCACCAAAACATTTCATAATGAAATATGAGGGGAAAAGACCCATTTGCTCTCTCATTCTGCTCTCATTATTTTGCTTACTCATACTGTTAAATTTGGTAGGCTGAGAATTTCATTGCATTAACTTAAACTATAAAAATGGGGATATCAACAAAGACATGAGTATGAGGTATACCGATAAAGAGAGACTATATTTTTGCTTTCCTGGTGGCACAGCATGTAAGAGCAGCCTAATTGCTTTAGTGGAGTAATGATTCAGTTCAGTAGGTGAGTCATTTGTTGATTTAGTAGCCACTCTGACGAATTTGTTGAGTTCATTCCATGAAGGATTCATTGGACTGATTCAAACTTGCAACTCCTGGGTTTGTGAGTCACACAGAAAGATTCATTAAAACAACCAGCTCATGTAAGACTCATCTGTTACTGAATCGGACTGCGTGGCACTGTATTTTTGTTAATTGGTTGTTATATGTGCTGACAAGTGTCACCATTTCCAGGTCCAAACACTCTATCAGATCCCAAAAGCAAACAACAAATGGTGCTACTACTGCTAATCATGATCATAACCTTTATCTCCATAACAAAATCTCAGATTGCTAGACAGTGAATTATCTTTAAAGTTTATTGTTAAATTTGTGGTGTCCAGGACACTATGATTCAGAGACTGTAGTTTACAAACAGTGCTATAAATAGCACTTATAAACAGCTCATGAGATGGTATTCTCAATTGTCATGACTTTACAAGCGGATAGCATGAAATGCATGAAAAACGGCACAAGAAACACTGCTGTGGTGTGCGACACACTTGTGGTGCTTCATGAAAAATATACGGTAAGTTATGCCCAATTCAGATTTGATTTTGAGTACTTGTATTATTCATTTTCCTGACATGATATGAACAAACCATCATTCTCACACTCTGCGACCCACAGTTTAAACACCCTGTAGGTTATCGACAGGATTTTTTTTGTTGCTAAATTAATTCAAGATATGTTTGAATAATTAAAGTGTTTGTAGTAATAGTTGACTATAAATTATTCTTGGGATTACTGATGTGCTGAAGTCCTTCTAGGCTTGTCTCTCTCTTGCATTTTGTTATTTTGGGTAGCAGGCAGTTCCCCAGGTCCATCTTGAAGCAGGCCTGTATGCATCAGTTCCTGATACTTTAATGTATCTCTGAGGAGGACTCATTCATATAGAAAAGTGGCCCCTGCTCATATTTTCACCCCAAACGCATCCTGACAGAACACTGCAAGGTCAAGCACTCACCACAGAACACCATGTAGTCATATGATGATGACGCACACTCTAACACACTCCTATAAAAGCAACTTCTTTTGTTTCAGTTTGTGAGTCATAGACATGGACATGATTAGTTCAGGTATATTTAGATGCTTTTGATTGTGTAACAAAACAAGCTCACAAAGACCAGCAATCCTTCAGGGTACTTTAAGGGACTGGTAGTGTAGCACATGGAGGTTAACGGGTTGGCTTGCAGTTTCTTTAATACAGCTGGACGACTTTTGGCACCAAGGACAAAAAGTAGTAACCTGAGGCACATTGTCTTGATGGAAAACTCTGTCCTTGCACTTTTGTGTAACACGATCAATCTAAAGCAGTTTAAGGGGAGGAAAGACTTTAAAATAATAATCTCTTTGGATAAGCTAAATTTAATTCAGTGTAGTGCTTATATCAAATACAGTTTTAGCCATCCATCTTTCCTTTTAAATTGAGTTAAGACAGAGTCAGGAAGAAATATAGTATAAATACAGCTTCAAGTTGCAATATATGAGGTCTAACCTGAACAGCAAGAAGCAGGCAATTAAATGCTTAAATGTAACACAACTGACATCAAGATTTGGATTGAGCATTTTAAAAATGACACTTTTAAAGACATTGTAGAACAAGGGATCATACTGCATATGACACTGTAGAGAAAATCAAACCAATACAGCTTTGGCCTTTATGTATTAAAAAGATATCAAACATTTATCAAAAGATGAGTCCTTTGTATTCAGTACACCAATAGAAATATAATATGAATGTACTACAGATAATTACAGACAGATGAATGTGAGTTTCACCCATAATTTGTTTCACTATGATATTAATGGACATGAACTCACTCAGAGAAGCAATGTAAAATATTCCAAGAATATTCTAAATACTCCTGGCAGACCAATTTAGCTTAACTGTATTAAGTAAAAACCAATAGAGCTAGAGCAGCTTTGTGCTTGTACACCTGAATCAAGGAGGTCAATAACACCAGGAGAAAGCTATCAGTTAGGATTCCCATTCATTTCAATGGCAGTCGCTTGCCTGGCATGTGACCACCTAAAAGTATGCAATTTGAAGTCTGCCATCCTTGCTCATGGGAACTCAGTTCTGGAAACTGTTTTTTGAGCCAGGTTTTTTTTTTTATCCTGGAGAAGTAGGAAAATGACATCATGACAACATTGATTTGTTGATTACACCACAAGTACATGGACAATCCCAAACCCTTTACTTGTGACTATCCTGAGCTGTGACGTCAAAGGCAGCAGATAGGAACAAATATAAGTCCATTTCATGCTTTTAAGAGCCCTGAAAAAGGTCACTACCAAGACATCTACTGGGCTATAATGGAATATTTGCTATTTTATGTCCGCTAAAGTAAACATAAGCTGGATATGTGTGTGAAATTTCAAGTTTAAATGACCAACAACACTGAGCTTTTATATTTTACATTTTCATATGCCTGTTGCTAAGCAACCACAGCCATAATCTATCCCATAATTGAAATTATTGGAAGATTTAGCAACAGAAATATCCTGCATGCAAAATTGGGTGACATTTCACCATAAATAGATGAAGTCATAGCTGTGCAAAAATAAATAAATGCATAAATACATATAAGAAGCACCAAAAGCAGTCAGGCTAACAAGGTGTAGGTTCATTTCTATTTGGCATGTTTTGTGCCACAGGGAACACTTGAGACAGGCAACAATACGATCTGAGATGACAGTAACACTTATCAAGCTGTACGAATATGTATTTATTTTCTTTGGAAAATATAACCAGATATTTAGTATGTAAAAACATTTGAGCAGCATTTGACAGAACATAAGAAAAGAAAAGAACATTTTCACACAGTTCCACAGACTTCCACTGAGTCACAAATACAGCCCCTGGAACCCACCATGTCAAACGGCTTCTTGCATTTTAACATCTTTACAACAAAATGGCAGGAAACTCTCCGGTTCCCCCGGAGGTTCTGCTAAGAAGAGGATGTCCCAAGAGAACAGGAATTCTGAGCAAAACCAAACACTTCACAACACAGCACTGCCGAGGCTTTTTCCAGTAGATACTTTGCTTATTGGGGAAGACAACTTGAGTTTTTGCAGCGTTTTGAAAGGTAATTGTAATGTATCTGTAAATAGATATATTCATATATATATATATATATAAATATACCATTCTTTCCCACAAATATGAAACATATACAACAACTTGAACTTCTGCACTGTCCAAATAATGCTTTCTACAGACAAAGCATCGCAGAAGACGCGCATTATATGGTTTAGCGTTTTTCTTTTTCTTTATTTTTGTCATTGGGATACTACATGTAAAATCTCATGATTAAATACATCCTTTGCATCTTTTGCAGCACATATACCCAAAGACTCACAAAGTCCAACAGACACACATACGCAACCATGCAACCCATGAAATCCTCAGCCATATAAAAAGTTTAGATCATCTTCATGTTGACTCGTCTGGGCCCACTTGTTTCTGTAAGTTCTGAGTTCGCACCTTTCCGCTTTCGTGGGACGTACCGAATGTCCACGCTACCTCTGTGCTTTCCTTTGCCACGGCTCCATGCAAACAACAACAAGAAACAGAACAAGACGACACCCAGGAAGCTGAGGCAGCCCATTGCTGTGGAGACCAGGATGGTGGTGAAGTCCAGCACCACCCTGATGGTGTACTCCTCTGTGCCATTAATCAGGGAACTGTTGTAGTCAGAGTCAAAAAGAAAGCTGCGGTTGGCGTAAAGGGCTCTGTCCCTGATTCCCAAGCTTTTAATAGCAAGCGTGACGGATAGAGTGGCATTGCCTGCTGGGTTTGATGCCACACACACGTACATGCCGCTATCTTGAGGCTCTGCCATGCGGAACTCTAGTGACCCATTGGTGTGGACCACCATTCTTCCCGTACTCTTTGTGGTAATGTGCCGCCTATGCGGTGTTAGCCATGACACAGAGGGAGGTGGAGCCCCATCTGCACTGCAGTATAGCCAAGCTCTCTGCCCTTCTTCCACCTGTGCTGGGTAAGTTGCCATGGAGACAACCCTGGGCTTGGTGCAGATAACGTAACGAGAGATTTGAGGTTCCACCAGGTCCCTAAGAGGCTTGCCAGCCAAGGGTGCAGGAGCACTACATTCCGGTTGAACATCGCCGTACAGCAATGGTAGAGTCCTCTCCAGGAGCCAGCGTAGACGACAGTCGCACACTAATGGGTTCTGGCCAATCAGAAGAGTCTGCAGGGCCTCGGAAGCAGGAAAAACACTCCTCTCCAGTGTGGAGAGACGGTTGTAACAAAGGTCAAGAAGGCGCAGCGAGGAGGCTCCTTGAAAGGCTTGAGGTTCCACACTGAGCAGGTTAGACTGTCGCACACGTACAACCTCCAGCCGGCCCATTCCCCGCAACCACCCTGCTGGCAGGACACGTATACGGCTGTAAGACAGGTTGAGATGCGTTAGATACAACAGATGTGTCACCACTGGTACAGACGTCAAGTTGGTGTGGGTAATGGACAGTGTGCTGAGGTTCAGTCCCTGCAAAGCAGATGTTGGAAACCCTTCTAACAATGGCCAACGGTCCACTTCCAGGTGTTTCAGTCGTGGTAGGCCTTTAAAGGCGTGGGCCTGAAGCTCCGCAATGCCCAAGTCCCGCAACCGCAGGCTGGTTAGACCGTGCAGATGTGCGAGAGCATGTGTGGGCACTGTGCTCAGGTTGCAGCGTTGCAGCGTCAGAGAGCGCAGGGATGCCAGGCCACTGAAGGCCCTAGGGGCGATAAACACTAGCTCATTATCACTCAACTCAAGTACCCTCAGCCTCCGCTGCTCCTCAAAACCGTAGTCCAGCAGAATAACAAGGCGGTTTTGACTGACATCCAGCAGGGTAAGCTCGCTGAGGCCAGCCAGTGCTCCGCGCGGCAGCAGAGTCAGTTGATTGCTGCGCAGTCGGAGCGAGCGTAGCCGCGGCTGAGAGCGGAAGCTGCCAGGTTCCACAGATGACAACAAGTTGTTGCTGAGGTCCAGCTCCTCCAGCAACAGCAGCGAGGAGAAGTTCTGTGGCGTCACAATGCGCAGCTGGTTTTTACTGAGGTCCAATGCCCTTGTCTCTATAGGCATGCCTTCAGGCACCTGCACTAACCGCCTGCGATGGCATGACACAGAACGCGTGGGCACAGAGCACTCACAGCGGGCAGGACAGGCATGGGTGGGGCACTGAAACAGGAGGAGTGGCAGGAGGGAGAGCCCCAGAGCACAAGAGAGCGGAGAGAACAGCATGGCCACCTACAGAGAAAAAACAGAGACAGAGAAATATGATATAGTTGAGAGAGATGGCTGCATGGTTAGTCACTCAAGGTAATGCAAACATCTACATACATATACTCTGAGACTATAGGACTATAGGTCATTGTACAAAATAGGTAATTCTACAAGGTCATTTTAAATTAAAATTATGGGCTATGGTATCCACCTTATTTTTAAGGAATAAATGCATAAACGCAAACGAGTGAAAGCAAAAGTTTTGCGAAGGAAAAATATGATTTCAGTTGACATACTAATTTTTCTCTTTTCCTGGTTGAGAACCATTGACCTAGTGACACAGTCTTTTATAATATACATAAATGAAAATCTAAAAAAAGATTGAATTTTTTTTATCCACTGTATATTTCTATACATGCAATATGTGTACAGCATGAGGGACATAAATAAGCCTGTGTTTTGTAGAATGACCCCTATAATGCACATACATGCACATCATGTCCTTTGTTCCATCCCAATTTCCCAACACCTCCTCTGTGCAAGACCTCTCCTGATTCTAGCTGATAGGAACCCTGTGGTGCATCGATCGTCTCTTTCTCTGTCTCTCATACGCACACACACACACAAAACCTGCTTTCAGAAAGACATCTCCAAACATGCCATAACCATGGAAACCCCATGCTCCCTTGGCACAAGTCCTGCTTTGCCAATCGAAATCAATAATGGAGGAAAGCAAAAGGCAGGCATTCCACAGGTCTGGATCACAAATGTGCACTTTAGATTAGATACGTAGACTGACTTTAACCACGTCTGTCTAAATGTTTTATGTTTATTTTAAAAATTACCTGGTAATTAGGGCAGATGAGGGAGAGTGCACTATTAACTGTAAGACAACAAAATAGGCATACAATATAAAATTAGAAAAAGGCACAACAAAATTAGAGACAAAAAGGAGATTTTTATTTAATTGTGCATTTTTATATAATGACAATTTAACCTTGGTATTTATTGTATTATCTATTAATTGACTTTACCACCAACATGAAATGGGTTGAAATACACCCCTTATTTCAGACAATATGAAAATTGAACAGACAGCACCACAGATAAGAATCAACAGCAGGGGAGCTTTTACATTTTGTATATCTTGCATGAGAATGCATCATTTAAACCTGCATCTAAAGTACCGCCATTTAGTCTTGTAATTAAAAATGAATGTCTCCATTGTAAAAGCTGAAGTTGGATTTGGAACGGATAATTACATTTTACAACATCCCCAGACCAATCCAGCAGCTCTGATTATATAAATCTCTATATGTTTCTCACTTTTAGGCTGTTTTTTAAATATTTGAAATACTCGCTTTGACATAGGCCTAATGCACACTGTTGCATACTACAAGATGATGCATTTCTCGTTATTATGAAAGAGGCAGTATGTCAGTGTAGTAATTGAAAACAGAATGATCAAAGAGCATAATTTGGGGAAAGGTTACATGCACATATTCTCAATTAATTATTAATAGAATAGAATCATAAAGGCATCTGTTTCCATTATTGCTCTAAAATGACCATAAAGAGAAATGGTCATAATCTTGGGCTGAAAAATGGGGCAGACAATTTTCAGTGAACTGGCAAGCCATGGAGCTCTCTCATAACCGATATAGCTACAGATTGACCTGCATGCACGGAATAAACCTTGTGCCTAGTTTCCCTCTGATATATAATTTAGACATGTGGCTTCACTGCGTCAATAATAATCTACTGTGCAATTTTACAACAAACTTGTTTGTATAAACCTAATGCAAATCACATTTAAAAATGTACCTAATGCATTTAGACTGCACAGTTA